AAACTTACGCCATATAGCTTTCTAATAAATGACGCATGGAGGAAAAAAATAGAAAATTATTAGCTGTTTGAAATTTATGATCATTGAAAATTTTCGTTTTATTATTAGAAATTTTGCAACAAAGTGAAAATGTGGACGCGCCCAAAAGCTTGGCTATTATTCTGGAAAGCAAAATTACAAATAATTTATTGTTATAAATATATTTTTTTGTTAATTTTTGATGCGTGTTATGCCTGCTAATGAATATTTTTGTTGCATGTCGAAATTCAATTAATTTTACTGTTTGCTTGTTGTTAAAATTTAACTAATTTCCAAATCATTATTGTTTATTATTTTGTGTTTATTTTCTAGCAATTTTTTATTGTCTGTTGGCACGAACTACATAAATTGTTTATTAAATTTATTTCATACACGTACACTGCTTTTTTAAATGAAAGTGAAAAGGAATTGATTTGTATATTTTATAAGATTTTCATTTCGCATGGAAGTAACGGCAAAGCTTACAACTCGTGCAGGGGCGCTGCTGGGGGATGACTCTCGCAGGAGAAGGAGGGTATTTACAAGTGATTAGCTAAGTTTTTAGTATTTTTATTATAGAAATTATAAATGGAATTTAAATGCATTATGTAGGTATGTTTATGATGGGATAAAAAGTGAAAATTATTTTGGTATGGTAAAAAAAATGTTGGAGAAATTAATAAGGTCAGGGTCCAGTGCTGGGAAAAATCTTAAAGAAGTATTAAATTCCATCCGGGCACTGCACGATCTGCAATGGTCGACGAACTCGAGAGATCTGCTTTCAATACCCCGCGTGCCCGCTCCAAAGACCCTTTGGAGGACCTTATGGAGATAAATATAAAGGATAAGAATTTATATTTTCAGTTTTTTCTCCCTTCAAATACCAGGAATGGGCGGAATTTCATGATTCTGCAAGAATTCGCTTCAAAAACGCCCTATCTCAGCTGAAAATACATTGAAAATGTTATGAGATAGGGCGTTTTCGAACTGGCTGCCGAGATAGGTCGATCTTCCCCTCAGGTATCGATATACAAGCGCACTTTTTCATCCCTTTTTGTTAATTTTAAAGTATATTCGGTGATACTGGGTTATTCCTTCAGAAATCTACTGGCACATTTGGGAACTAGCAAGGAAGAGGTGAAGGAATGTTTGACAGGTAGGTTACGGTAGAATAACATATAATTTTCCACAAAAAATGCACCAAAATGGCACTTTTATGCACAATTAAATCCTAAGTGTCAACTTGGGTGCAACTAGTGATGGGTTTACACCTAAGTATTTACCCAACGCTGGGTATTATAAATACCCATTCTCGTACCCGGGTATTTACCTAATTTAGGATAGATACTCATTCATTAAAATTTGAGTACCCCTGCATCTAAAACTCCAAAATTGTCATGAAACTTATGCTTATTAAAGTAGACCAGGCAATATATATTTCCAGAATAGTCGGTATATATGAAAAATATAGCCAGAAGATAACAAAAGTAAACTTGAACTGGAGTTATCAACAACTTCGATGTTGAATGATGCTGAAAAAACAGAGCGTACAACAATATATTCAATACCCGATTCAAAAAAAAACATTAAACCTATACATTTAGTTGCAAATTTGTTAGACCTAAGGCACCAAGAAGTGAGCTTGATCAGTCTGCATAGTAAGACGGATTAGAATTCGTTCAAGCAACGTCGCCGCATCCGTAGTTCACAAGAAAGAGCTGAAGACGGCATCCCTTCAACTGCAACGGGAATCGTGCACTCTACCGGTTATGAATATTTTTCGGATGCTGATAGCGAGAGCGATTATGACTAAGCTCATGTTTTATCTCACTTGTAATTAAAGGCCAAGTTGGTTCTAAAAAAAACCGTTTTTTATTCTCTGTCTGAAATAAATATTGGATATTGCAGCAGGATAAACTCATAGCTAACCAGAATAAGTGGAGATGTGCCCAACCAGTGCCCGGCATACGGAGAGTAGCCACATAACTCACGGAACTTCTTCGCATGCCCCCAAAACCCCACCCAGCAAACGCCGCTGTGCCTATGGACAACCCCTGTTGAAGTTGCGCACTTCCTGAGCCTTTCCTTAGCTGAACTAGACGACAACGCAGATGGATGAGCCGACTCGAGCGGGGTTTAGTAGCCTCTACAACAATAAAAACAGTAGACCCATACAAAACCTCTATAAAACTAATTGTTCTTCACGCTAAGAGTTTTGTGTTATCTGGGTAAAAACGCCAAGATCCCAGCACCTATTTCAAACGAGTAGTTACAGAAGAAAATAAAACCGCGCGGTCCAAAATTACACACATATTTCCAAATTGAATCGTGTGGCAAGAAGATCGCGAAGTCCAAAAATTCAGTGAGCATACCGACCAGAGCAACAAGAAGTATAGAATTCCATAGCAGGATCAGAACTAGGCCGAAGCTGCTGGATTGGAAGAAGTGTCTTTATGTCATGCCTTCCACTCTTCTATACATATAACGATTGATTACAGGGGAATGTAAAATTGTTTGGTCAGACGAGAGGACCGGCTATGTATTGTAATCAAAAATTTGAAACTACAGCATGTTTAATCACATCAGACTACAATCTTCGGAGCAACCAAAAGATGCTATTTTCACAACATCAAACCACGGCGTCTCTGGTTTTATACGACTAAACTTGAAAATCACTTTTGTGATGGATATCTTGGCCGCATGTTTAATCGACCTGCGCATAGTTTTGCGGATGGATAACAGTGATCGTCTAATTTTGATTTTCCCGCCATTACTCTTCGTTTTTTCGCTATCATTCCCTACCAAGCCTCGAGTTCTCAACTAGTGCTATATGTAAGTAAATAGTGTGCCGCAGCGTATACTTATATTTCGTAATTGTCCCTTTTATAAAGAAATTTATAGACATCAGTGAATAAATACACTTTCAAAAAGAGTACTTAGCAGCAAATTGCCATGCCTGTGGTTTGTGGTATTACCATCAACAATATGACCACATTTTGTTGTGAGTTTCAGTGGTGTCTATATATTTTTGCCTTTACTCTTCGATTTTTACTTTTATTTCTTTGCTTTTGCTGATTTTACCTCCGACGTATTTTTGGTCTTCATATACCCTAGTTTTTTTACTACTCGCTACTTGGTCTGCGCATATTAGTGGCAAATATGGATGAATGAGTGCGTGGCGAATACAATGAAATATTTCAAATTAATTGCGTTTAATGTTTGGCGGATGCAAACAATTTTAACGCTGTTTGCGTGTAGGTTTTTGGGAAACGGAAATCGTCAATGAGGAATTCAGCTATATAAATTGAAGCGCCTTGCATTTACAGTGCATTGTGGCATAAATGTAAGCGTTTGGGCTGCCGGATATACTACTTTTTAAATATCTGTTTCTTATAAAAATATGTGTACAACATTTTAATAGTTTTTAAGACATATCCTGGTTATCAGAAGGCGATAAGGAGCCTTTTTCAAAGGTGTTGGCAGCTCATGGGCAATTAAATATTTAAAATATATTGCGCGCGAATAAAACGAACTTAAAAAGTAAGTAACATTTAGAATTTTCCGCGCAGCAAGTTTTACTGTAAACTAAACTGGCAACGATTAATATACTACTGTAAAATTTTGAGCAAGCTCCGCCATTTAGCTGAATAAGCATTTTTTTTGGCATTACCGATACCAACTAAAGGCTTGTTAAATACAATAAGAATTCTTCACAATCAATTTAAATGGTTAAAAAGTGGTTAACTTAATTCCGTTGTGGTCATACCAGCGCAAGTCACTCCGAATGTTCAGGTCGCCCAAAGAGGACGTCGGACCATCGCAGAATGAAAGTGTGTTGGGTGGCTGAGGCTATTCGAATCTCAACTGAGCGGGTATTTGGATATAAAAATGCTATTCCCGCATTGGATCCCGCCGCGCCTCTTAACACTCCAACATAAACGTAACCATATAACCACTTCAAAGGAGTGTCGGCGATGTTCAGCCGCAAACCGAAGGAGTTTTTGCATCTTTTCGTTACCGTTGACGACACATGGATCCACCACAATAAAATAATAAAAATCATCATGAGGCAAAAACATGTTTCAATATTCGATTCTGAAAGAGCTCGCTAGTTTGTCTCTCAAACACAATGCTGCCAAAATCCTTATACTTAACTCTGCCAAAAGCGGGGATGAGTCACAAGAAATGTTCCATTGTTTTATCTTCGCTAGAGCCGAAAGTACAAATGCCAGTTTATAGCCAAGTATGAATGCTCAAGAAGAGACCAGTAAGAAATCCTAATAGACGTCTGTAGTCTATCTGCTAAACGAAAGCAAATATCTAAAAGAAAGCAAATATCTGCTTACACGTGCCGTCTGATGCCTCAAAGTCATTGCTGGCGAAAATATCCACCCAGTATCTGCGGACCATGGAATGCCTGATCCGAGACTTCTTTAGCTAAGTGGTTAAATGTCTTAGTCAGAAGAATACCCAAAGGTGTTTGCACCCGGAGTAAAACGAGTCGAGACTTGCATTGCATAACTAGTTTGGAAGTAGTTAGAGCGCTGGCCAATGACTTGAGTGCAGCTTGGCTGTGACTGCAGATACGTAAACAACTACTTCTTCACCTATTTTCTAACACGTAGTCTAAGGCCTGGGGAATTGTAAATTAGTCGGCATGAAATACGGAGTCATATCTACTATTCGATGTAGACTCCAAATCCTGGCCATGTCTCAGTTTTGAGTAAATACTAGTAAGTAACAAAGCCAAGGCTTTCGGGAACTTATGCATAATGTAAGCCTTCCATGCAAGTTGGTTATTCAGAACAATGCCGAGATACTTTATTACGAATTTAATCTGAATTAGGTCCTCTTTTAATCAAAATTTCTTAGGAATTTTTATTCCGTTTTGACAGTATCTTTTTATGTAAGTAATCTTAGACATAAGACTTATAATTTTTCAAAAATTTCCTCAGAAACCATTTAACTCTCTTCTCACTTACCGTATTCAATTTCTCCATGAGAACACTCATTTGATTTTTCGTACACATCTTGTACGCGTTGCTGTCGTCGTCGTTTTAGTTGTTGCTGTTGTAATTGTTGCACTTTTGATTGTTGTAGATTTTGCGCACTTGATTGTGATTGATGCCTGTTGGCCATTCACAAAATTGCACAATCAAAACTGTTGTGTGAAAATTCCGAAAAAAAGTGGACAAATGGATAAAACCCAAGGCGCGCGGACACAAAGAAATGAACACACAAAAAAACGGATGAAAACACAGGGCAAAAGCAAAGCAAAAAAATAAGCAAAATAAGATACATAAAAGCGAATGTACGCAATTTAAATCGGTTAACGCGTAAGGAAAAAAAAAACAACAACTACGACGATAATATGGGCCTTGCGACGGTTTCAGCGCCACTCGACGACTGTGGTGAGCTGGTCAGTTCAGAGGTCGTGCGAAGCGAGTACGTGAAGGTTTGTGGCGGGTTATTGTGCTTTAGATTTTTTTGTGATTTATTTTTTCTAGTTTGTTTTTGTTTTATCGTGCAACAAGTTACTTTTAAATTGCCCACTTTGATGTTACTGTTGATTGTTTAATTGCTTAATTTTTGCGTAGACTTGTTACATTGATTGGCCGGCTCGCCCGTCGAATTGCTTTAGTTTTGTTTGATTGTTTTTATTTTTTTGTATTTTTTCAGGAATTTTCGGAGGCACGCACCGAGCAATTCACTTATGCAATATCACGCCTTCTCGGAAATAATTTCAGCTTACAAAATTCATGTGGTTTTTAATTGTTCGCAAGATTCAAATGAACTGATAAATATTTTGAGAAAAACTGATGAAAAATAAATTGATGATAAGAGTGCAAGAAAAAAATAAACGCGCCATGCGGCGCCAGCTTTGCTATGAGCACAACAAAAAAGCGCAGCTACACGTCGGGGACGGTCGCCGAACTAAATAAATTTGTTTTTTCTCCTTCCTCTTCTTCTCCTATCTTCGAGTATGTTTGTATGGTAATTTACACCGGCCAGCATTTGATATGCGATTACATTCAGCGTTGTAAATTCAGCTTGGCGCGCAGCCTACCTCTAACTCACTCGCTAGTCTGTTTGTTTATTTAATTGTTGTTGTTAGCGTCAATTCGAAAGTGAAAAAGTGCCACATGGGTTTAAAAGGAAAAATTATATATCTACAAAAAAATACTAATAAAATTCAAACGCCGAAAAAAAGGAAATACTATGAAAACAGATTTGAAAAAATGTCCACAAAAACTACAGAAATTAAATTGTGTGTGGGTTCCTAAGGTTAAAATTAATTTGTTACCGGTTTGGCTTATTCTTAATCGTAATCTTAATCTTAATATTAACCTTTGTTTTACTCTTACTCTTATTCGAATTCTTAATCTCAAACTCAATCTCAATCTTAATCCTAGTCTTAATCTCAATCTTAATCTTAACTTTCATCTTAATCTTAACCCTAATCCCAATCTTAATCTAAGCTTTAATCTTAAACTTATCCATATCCTTAATCTTAATTTTAATCTTAGTCATATCTTTAATCTCAATCTTAGTCTTAATTTTAATCTTAATCTAGTCTCATTCTTAATTTTAATCTTAATATTAATCCCAACTTTAGCAAGAATCTTAATCTCATATTAATATTAATCTTAATAGTCATTTAAATTTTAGTCTTAATCTTGTTCTTAATATCAATATTATCTCTCAAATAAATAAATAATCTCAATTCTAATCTTAATCTTAACTTTTATCTTAATCTTAATCCCAATCCTAATCTTTATCTAAGTCATATTCTTAAACTTTTCCTTAATCTTAATCTTAACCTTAATCTTAATCTTAGTCTTAATACCAATCTTATTCTTAATATTAATCTTAACGTTAATAATAATCTTGATCTCAACCTTACTCTTAATATTAATCTTAATCTTAACCTTAATCTTAACCTTAATCTTAATCTTAGTCTTAATCTTAATCTTAGTCCTAATCTTATTCTTAATCTGAATCTCAACATTCCTCTTAATATTAACCTTAATCGTAATCTTAATTTTAGTATTAATCTTAATTTTAATCTCAGTACTAATATTAGTCTTAACCTGTATATTAACTCTTATCTTCGTCGTTCCTTCTTCAGTCACATTTTGGTTTCATTGGAGTTTGAATATGAATGTTCACTTAAAACATTCATAAAAAATTTATAAAAATTAGAAACATTTCTTCAAGTGCAAACACGATAAATGCTAGCTTAAACGACTGTCTTTAAGTTCTTCTTATTCCCACTCCTTGCCTCCAAACTCATCAAACATAACCGAAAACTCGCAGTCATATGAAAAATTTGAATTACCAGCAAAAAATATTTAACATATGGTGGCACCACATGTGTTTTGTAGTGATTAGCAGTTATAGGAAACTCAAATGTTGTAGTTGTTGCTAATTTTCTATTTTTTTTTTAAGTTTTACTAGCTCTTTCATTACCAATTCCCTTACTTGCTAGCGTGTTTTTACATTTAGTTTTTTCTTCTTTGCTGGTCGTTGTAAATTTTCTAACTAAATAATTCATCTTCGCTGGCTCTACAGGTTTCGTGTTTAATTTTTGTTTTTAAATTTTTATTAGTTAGTTTCAATTTCGTTTTCGTTTTCATTCGCTTGAATGAGAATGAAAGTGATTTTGGTGTATTGGCATGTTGAGGGGGTATTTATGCTAATGATTTTGATAAATGTTTGTAACTGAATAATATATAAGAAAATTGAAAGTTTAGAAACACTTTCGAGCCAAGCGTTTACACTGACTAGAAATTTTGGTTTTTTGTAAGTAAATTATGAAAAATTTAGCAATTTGTTTCTTCGGTTTAGTAGCATGTGTACACTATCTTATCAAAGGTATGACTGGGCAACCATCGTAACTTTGATGTAAATTTGTGATCCTACGGGTAAACATCCCTTATGGCTGGAAGTTAGCTTGATTTCCATGAATATTCATTCAAAGCCTTACCCGTGCTCAAAGGCCAGCTTCTAACCGGAATTTCTGTTAAAGAGTTATTTCGTCTTGGCATGTCTCTTTTATCGTTACTCTTATTGTGCATGAGGTTAAGAAGTTACAGATAGCTTGTCCTTCAGCCTAGATTCCAATCCTATAAAATTCACCAAAAAACTATGCAAAACCAATTTCAAGAGTATATAACTATTCTGCCCTAGCCTGCCTCCGATATGAAAAAGCTTGACTTGGTTAACTTGTGCTGCCATTATCGACCGAAACTTATACTTAGTTATTTAAATTGCTCTAGAATCGATCTATGGTGCCTATAGTACGACTAACATTTTAGCAGGTTTCCCTAGGAAACTCATTATAGATCACGAAACGGACCTTTACTGACAGCGTGACACAGCTATTTGTAGGTGTATTGCGATATCTAGGAATAGAAATGTTTTGAAATGATTGTGTAGACACGTGCTTAATATTAAAATTTTAATATTTTCAAATTGTACGAAAATAAAATTTCTCCTCAGTACCTAATATTAAATAGGAAAGTCAGAGAGGAGGCTATAAATGCCTCTCAAAGCAATCGACAAATCTTGGCTCAGGATTGATAACAAGAGAACCCAGCGCTCTTATACAATTAGAATGCTTCCAACCCTGACTTGTAATAGGGCCATTGCTTTGTGAAAACTAACGACAGCAGTGTGGGCTTTCCAGCGGTTGACTACTGTCGCAGCTTTCGTAATGACGAAGAAAGTGAGATTATCACAGTCAAAAACTGTTCTGATTTTTTTCTTGTAAATCAAGGTATGCCATGTGAAATACAAACAAAAAATAATAAATAAAAAATTGCTGCAACTTTTTTCTTAGTAAATTTTTTTGATCCATCCTTTCCAAGGCCCAGTAATCAGAGTTTATGCTGCTGAGTTGGGTGAACGTTCCAAAAGCTGGTATTAAATCGCTTGTGTTGTATGAAAAAAAGGTTTCACATGCAAATAGATTTCGAAAGTTTAAAATTATTGTGAGAAGAAATTAAAAATTTTTGACATTTTGAAGATCAAATAACTTGAAAAAATCAAATCAGCTGCTCTACTGATACTACCTGTTCAATATGCCTCCTAAATGTATATTTGTTTTTTCACTATTTGCTATTTTACCAGCGGTTCCTGGAAGATTTATGGAAACTTGTTTCCAAGAGTTAATCTATTCATAAGAAAAATGTATAAATTCTCAGCAGGTTTGTGTACCTCGTTATGATTTAGAGAATTTTTAAAATTAAAATTTTTTTTAATATAACCTTGACGATTTCGATGGCTGAGTGGAAGATCGACCTATCTCGGCTGCCAGTTCGAAAACGCTCTATCTCAAAAAACTTTTCAAGAACGCCCTATTTCAGAATTTTATTGAAAAACACCCTATCTCAAAATTCGGTTCAAAAATGCCCTATCTCACTTCAAAATGTATTGAAAATATGCTGTTATAGGGCGTTTTTGAATCGGCAGCTGAGATAGGGCGTTTTTCAAACGAATTCTGAAATAGAGCGTTCTTGAAAAGTTTTTTGAGATAGAATGTTTTCGAACTGGCTGCCGAGATAGGTCGATCTTCCACTCAGCCATCGATTTCTTCTTTTAAACCGCTTGGAATTTACAAAATTTTTTAAATTTGTTCCCAAAAATCTATAACTCTAAAAAGTATATTTTTTGTATCGCTAAACAAATCCATTCTTTCATCCGACAACTCTTAGAAATATCGCCGCCTTAAGTTATATGAGATACCCTCAGTTGTGACTGCATAAAATATTAATATCAAATAATTATTTTAATATAGAAACATGTAAAGTTATCGCACCATGCATTCACGGCGATTTTGCTAAACTATCGGTTAGGAAACAGTTAGAAATAAAAGACGGCAGAAAGGGGTTTTTCCACATGAAGGTTAAATTTTTCCATATTTTAAGATAAGTTATGGATATTCTTTTCGTCTTAAAGAAAACCTCAAAACTTTTATTAAACTATCCATAAAATTGCAGATTTTTTCGGGCTTGAAAAACATTTTCAGAACTCATTTCTTTAGTTTGTTTATTTAACATAAAATTTATGATTAAAAGCATAAGCTGAAGAATTTAGGATCAAATAAATTTCTTGAAATTTTTCGTTTTTCTCGATTTTTCTTATGAGCATTTTAAAACTTGCATAAGATTTTAGGGTTGTTGAATAAAAAGTAAAAAAAAAAATAATATATAAGTGCATAAAAATAAAAATAAAATATTCTAGAAGTTAGTTGGTTATAGGCAACCGATATCAACACTTCAAGGCCAATGCTGTTATGCGATGCTGCGAAATGTTCGCATATTTATACTTCATAGTCATATTTAAAATTCAGTGCGTGTAAGTGACAATCAACAATTTTGTTAAAAGATAACTAGTAAATTAATCTTTTATGATTTGGAAAATTTATTATAGTTGCAGATTGAATTGAATTTGCGTTGTACCACTTTTTGTATTTTTTTGTGCAACATAAAAGTTTGAATTTATTTTAAGGTGATTGGAAAAAACATTAGACATTCATCTAAAATGTACGAAGTATCACTTTTTAACAGTAACAGTAAACTTTTGTTTTATATGCTATCACTTTTCTATCATCGTAACTCACTTAGACAGAATGTTGTGTATGATAAATTAAATACTAGAAAACAGTTTTTACTAATTTTTAATTTCTTGATTGCCCGCACACAGGCATAGTTATAGTTTGTTCACAATATTATCCTGTTTGTATTTACGAATCACTTATTCCAGACACAATCTTTGTTACGCATATTTTGTTTCAAGTCTCGTGTTGGGAACGCAATCACAGTTAGCAAATATTATTTGATTTACTTTGACGTTTTTGAAGATAAAATAGTTAAAGTTTCGTAATATTTTTTTTTTAATTTTTTTTTAAATTACTTTTAGTAATTTTTTCTTTATTTATGTGCATATGTATGTATTTAGTATAAGCCCACTACTTAAGGAATTTTCTTCATACTAACAATTATTACTTCACAAGGTTTTTCCGCGTCACTTCTTAAAATTCGTTTTTGATCACACAAAGAAGTAGTACCGTTAACCGTCAGTGTAAAACCAAAGCGTGCGTAACACTCAACGTCTGCAAACCGTTTGAAGTGGTAAGCGAAGACTTTAACTTGGCCAAGAGATTGCAAAGTCAATGCAAAGCACAGCGAGTAGCAGACCAAACGCAATAATGTAAAGCGCAGCAAAGGCATAAAAAACACGAGCAGCAACAAGCACCAAATCGTAGATACTTAGCGAAGTCGAAGAGCTCGTTGTCGAGTGAGAAAAGTCAACAGCTGAGCGTAAGCGGAGTTGATTGCAAGCAGATATGGTGGTAAAAAAAGTGGCACGCGGAAAAGGGTTGTGTGGCGCTGCAAGTTGGCGTGTAAAAAATTCCCAAAACAAATAACAATTAAGCAAAGACAGGTGCTTTACTACATTGCAATGCTAGAAATTTAATATTTATTGCCTATGCAGTGCGAGATGACATGGGGAAAATATATGTATTTGCAAAGGCAGCCTTAAGTGCCGAGAGTAAGCGAGAAATGACGTTTAAATTAATGTACGCTGCTCTCAAACATTAGCAAAGTTTTTGTTACTTGGTGACTTTAAACTGGCTTTTTGTGGCGGTAAAGCAAGTTGCTCGCTTAAGTCTTTCGTATGAGGTGTGCTTTGTTTGAAGCATAACTCTTTTACTTAGGCGAATGTTCGTTTATCATACTTGCCATTAATTTTAGCCACCACTGTCGGTAGCTGTGCAGTTTTGAAGCATTTACATGTAGCCAATTACATTAAATTAAATTTTTCATTAGCGCTAATTTACGTGTTTTAAAAATGTTTATAAGTGTAATATTAAATTATTCCGTGCATTTAGCATTCACGATGCTTAGATATACACTAGTTCGCCGATGTTATATTGAAGCGAAAATTTATAGAAATTGGAATCTTCTTTATAATTAACGTCGTTGGCAAAAGTGTTATCATTGTCGAAAATACTGGTTTACAGCAAAAATATTCTATGGATGCCACTATCCAATCCCTATGTAGAATTGCTCGGTGAATCCGAAAATCGACTTAATTTTTTTTCTTTGGATACGTTTTCGAGATATTTGCAATTTGCCGCTATTTTTAAATTGGTATCTAAGATATACAAGATTAAAAGGAATCAATTTTTGCTTTAAGCTGAATAACGGCAAATTGCAAATATCTCGAAAACGTATCCATAGAAAAAAAAATTAACCTGAATTTCGGAATCATCGAGCAATTCTACATAGAAGTTGGATAGTGGCGTCTGGAGAACAAAAACCAAATTAAAATTTGTGATCCAGTTTAATTATCGATATCGTCAATCAAAGTTTTAGTATTTTTATCGGAATGACTGTCGATATTCTTATCTTATCAATATCGTTATCATTGTTTTTATCGATATTATTATCGATATCGTTATCGTTGTTTTTATCGATATTGTTATCGGTATTATTATCACTTTAATGATTAATATTGTATCGGTATTTTTATCGATATTACAATTGATATTTTTATAGATATTGTTATGGAAACTGTAATCGATATCGTTTAAAATTCCTAAATTTTCTGAACAATGGTATTAAGCAACAATTGGAAGGCATTTCAACTCAAAGATACATGTTTTAATATTTATCTATTTTCCTTATTATTATATCCCGGAGTTAATTTAATTTTAAAAAGAGAATACCTTGCATTTCAAAATATTTGTATCCTTATTAGTATATTTTTAATGCAATATTCAAAATCCTTTTAACACAACTATGTTCTTGTCGGAATACCATTATAAGAGCTGTGTTCTACATCTAGATTAATTAAATACACAGTTTGGTTTAGGGAACAATTAGGGTAGAGTGAAATCAAATAACCATACGTTATCAAGTTATTTCCACGTGAGGTAAGCAACATCATTACAGAGGTTTTAGGTAAACCAGCCGGTGGGATAAGCAAAATGGTCTTACTGCGCAATAGCATAAACAGAGTTACATCTCTGTACAACTTTAAATAATGTAAGGGCATTGAAAGGCCAAAATTTACACGAGTAAAGTATTTGGGAGTCTCGCTACATCTTAAGCTAGTTGAGATTATGTATTGTGGAACGATTTTCCGTCATCCCTTGAAAAAAATCCTCCTTCCCTGTTGGAAAAACAAACAACCAAAAAGAAAGTAGTAGTTGAGATTATTTTAATACGGTTGACTGCATACCACACATATTTCATGTGCTTAGTAGTGTCCGATGAGGATCGAGTAAAAAATAGACTTATAATAGACAACTTTTCCTAAGGGATGCTTTTAGAGATATACATATATTAGATTTCCTAACCGTGCAATCCAAAATATTTCTGACGAGTTCTTATTAGATTAACTTCCTACATTTGTTGCGTCTGTGCAATTACTTAGATAGCGGCCTACCAGTAAATAGTTGTCGTTTTCATTTACATTATAAGTTGTCTTTCCAAATAAATATTGATTTGGATAGTCTCTTCCACTATTTTGTTTCCTTCGATATTCTAACGACCAGGTATCAAGAAGATACAAAGCTTTCTGCTTTGTTTCCTTCATCTTTATAAGTTGTTATATAAAAAATAAATAAATAAACATGTGGTATGCCTAAAGCTAGTTACGGGAATATCCTTATCGCCCATACCTCCATCGTAAATATTCTGCAGTGACTAGGTAGTTTAAATGGCTGCTTACTACTCTATTATTTGCAGTGGGCTTCAGCGGCTAATCCCTCCAGCATTTTTAAATAATGAGCATATATATTCAAGGTCAAATGCCTGGGTTCCGTATCCTTGCTCTACTCTTTTCCTTCAGCTGATTTTTTAATCCTTCATGCGGTGTCTTACGAAAAGCCGTGGGGTCTCCTCTCCTTTGCTATGATTTCCTGATCTGGTGAACAGGCTTACTAAGTAGTATAGCCATGTATAACTGGGCAGGGTTCAGAGGACCATATGTGTCAGCAGTACATGGGTAATGAGAGCTTACTTTACGGCTGTCCTCAATTTTATTAGAAACCTACATCTTTTTGAGCTTCAAATGATGTACACCGTTTCGGTGTTTGCTGTAAGACTCAGAGAAATGGATCTATGTAAAGAAAAAGAACAAGCACGCATACATATTGTAGTATTCTTTCTGGATTGCGTTCAAAGATTAGACAGCTCGCCGATTATACACCACCTTAAATGGAATACCACATACACTTTGGAGTCCCACTTATGTCGTAAGAGGGAGTTGTAGCTATTGTTTGATCTGTGAGTATGAAAATTAGTCCATTAGTCCATTAGTCCGCCAGTGTAAACTGCTTAAATTCGATTGACCTTTCAAGGATTTAATGAAGCGAAGTCTCAGCAGACTGAATCCCAGGTCATTTCAAAATTTTCGGAAATGTAGCTGTTGGTGGGCTAATCAGGCAGGGAAATCGAAAATGAACATTTTTATCACAATTTTCAGAAATTAGATCATACATATATAGCCATTTAACTAACGTTATATGGCCCGTATGAAACCTTAAAAGAACAAGCGACCTGTTGAAAATCCCAACCTGACCTGACAATGAATTCATGTGACATGTAATACTTATATATAGATATGTTTGAGTACAGCAGCACTTCTACAAAAAAAAAAAAAAATACAATACAAAGAAGCCACTGATAGCCACCAGCGATGTCTTAATACTTTAAGCTGACCGAAGGGCAACTTCAAATAATTTTCAGAGCAGTGTGCTTAAAAAATATCAGTTGGGGCAATTTATTTATACACTTAGTAGCTCAATTAAGTAAGCCGGCAAAGTGGTGGACAAGCAATTTGGAGTTGAAAAATAAATTTTAAATTTCACAAAGAGCTTGTAAGAGGTAAGGGAAAAATTTTTGACAATTAAATGTAATACTGATATTGCACTTAATTTGAGGTCATTGCTTTTGGAAATATACATATGTATTTCCTAAGAGCTAATTTAGTTGGTACTAGTTAATCACAATTTTGCTGAGTGTTGTAGAGTGGCTGAAAATAAATAAATATAAATAACTTGAAAAAAAAGGCAAAGCAAAATATTGCAAACTCTCTGTCACAAGCAGCAGCCAAGTCTTTAAAAGTTTACAACAGCAAACAGTAATCAAATGTTGTATTAACTGTTCACAGTAAATAGATTAAAATCTGAGTAACAGCAACTGTTACATATTTTTTGCAAAATCACTGTCTGCTCACTGGTTTTTCGTAAATTGCTTTTCTTCTCTTTTGCACGAATTGTCTGCTGCTGCGTAACTTTGGCGATTTTTATTTTATTTATTATTATTATTTTTAACTTTTTTTATTTTTTTCAGCTGCTACGTTTAACGCTAATGATCGTCGTCATTAATCCCCATTTCTAATAGTCATTTATATGGCTGATATTTCATATGACTTTGCAAAAAATTAGAATTGCTGCTTTTACAATTTTTTCCGTTACATTTTGTCTGCTTACATAACTGTGCACAAATTCATATTGTTACGCTTACTTTCTTAAATTAAAGCTGCTAAATTTACAATAGTTTTTACACTCAAAATTGCTGTTGTCAAAAACAAAAGACTAAAGCAACGAACTTAGTGGCTGTAAGGCGCACCTAAAAATACCAAACACACAAAAAAGGCTGTCAGCGCGCGCACCTTACAAAGCGCTATTTATTAGAGAAGTCGCTTTTAGTGGAAACAAAGCTAAATCTCAGCTAATATGCATCAAGTGCGCATTTGTATAAAAATCGCTGTGTATGTGTGTGTGTGCGTGTGTGTGCAGCGGCGTATTTGTCTAAATATCAAATATTTGCCATATATTTGCTTTTAAATGTTCTTCGCGCCATTGGCGATTAAAAGACATACAAGAATGTCAATGCTGGGAAACGTGTGTCTAAAATGGTCGGAAAATTATTACAAAAGGTAATAAATACAACGGAAAACAAATAATTATAATGCAAAAATTGTACGAACAAACTTAAGAAGTTAGTTACTTAAAGCATTGCAAAGGTTTTTGAGGTAGTTGGAGGCTGTGTTAACAGTTGAAGTGATGCGATGTGATACAGTGGATGTTGAGGT